AAGATTCCATTACATGATGCTGTTGACAAAGGACAGGTGTGCTTTCATGATTATCCAGACTCTTTTTTGCATCTCGCTCTACATCATTTTTATGATTTCTATGAAATCGGCTCTTGCTCTTAACCACTAGTCAGCTTCTAAGAAGAGAAATGATCAGGGAGTGTAATATGCTTAATATTTATGAGTGCAACAAATACTGGGTCATTTTTCTTTATTACTTCAGAGCCTTCTTTTTATTCTTGTAGGTCATCTTTACTCTCGACTTTCGCCTGGTGTGCTTCTGCGAGATTACGATGGATATTGTTTTCAGGTTTGCCGCGTTATTCGATTGCTCACCTTCCACTCACCGGTGAATGCAATTGATCGGAATGGTAATACTCCATTGTCGCTGGCATACACGAAAAATCATGCGAAGATGGTGAAGATATTGCTACAAGCTGGCGCAGCCTTCCACTCGTTGGAAAGCTCAGAGCGGAGGTAATGCTCTTACCTTAGTGGTTGCTGCTGTCTTCAAGTAACCAGTCATTTCGCAGTCTGTAACGGTTCTGACATATTTGTGAAAAAATTGTTTTTAAATCGAAAGGTTGTGCTTTTAGAAAACCGGAAAACCTTCGAAAGCGCCGTGCTTACGAGGTGCTTTCTAAGCACTCAAGAATAATCTCGAGTCAACTGCAGAGAGCTCGTAGGAAAGTATACAGGTAGCCTTTTGTGATGATCTTCCTTTTGGCTACCCTTCACGTTAGGGTCCAGGTAATTCTACCGGTATTGAAGTATAGTAACTTCTTTCACTGTAGCTCCAGGAAAAGAAAAAAACAGCTCAATTACAGGTTACTAACAGAAGTACGAACAGCGTCGCCGTGTTTTCTCGCCCCGTTTGCGGATGGGCCAAATTTTACGTTTAACGTGAGTCTTTTTAATAGGCTACAAACTTGTTCGAAACAGTAGCTACCTGCCGTTGTCAGCTCAAACTTTGGCAGCTTTGTTGTGAAGTTGTAGGTGTTCTTTTAGTTCTTTTTTCATTGTTGTAGAACAAGCATTTGCGAATA